TGCTTCCAGAGTGTCAGGTATTCATCATTCTAACCTTAAACTTGCTATTATCTGCTCGTACTCCTACTTACTTCAGCATCGGAGTGCCTTGCAGGTACCCCCCCCCCCCCCACCTCGTTCAAAAAAGCTTTCTGCTCGGAGCCAGCCGTGACGGTCCATTTCTGATCAGGTCAGATCACATACTATTTTAGAATTCTTATTTATAAATATCCTCTTAAAAAAATCTTTAAAATTTTTTATAACATATCAAATCTATAACAACTACTTATCATTATCACCAAAGTATTGTAATAATATTACAAAACAAAAATAAAGATGAGAAATTTAATGTTTTCTCTTTGTTATTTACCAAGATCCACCATAAAATTGACTAATTCCTCCTACTGTTTATGCAATGTATGACCTTGTACATATCATATCATACATAAGACTTTTCACAGTTGATGCATATGGTAATCAAGAAACTTTCATTCTCTCTGCTCCATTGTTAGGATTCATACTTAAGGATAATTTATAAATAATAGGAAGTCTTAATCCCATATGCGACGTTATATTTCTAAGTCTCTCAGACAAGGAGTTTATATAGCATTGTTCGGTGAGAACTCTTAGTCCCATATGTGAAGTTATATTAAACCTGGATGACGAGACTATAAGTCCCTCAGGCAAGACGTTGCACCTCTCAGGGGGAATTTCTATCAATCCTTTCGCCATGAAGTCTAGCATACAAAATATTGCCTTAAGAGGCGACAAAGATCTTTGCCATGAAGTCCAACATACAAAATATAAGAAAACATTCTTGCTATTCATAAACATTCAAGAAATTGTTCATAGGAAAATACTTATGTCTCTTAAGAAATTAAAAATAATCTTATATGTAATAATTCTTAAGATGGAGAGCGTTCCAAGTTCGGGGTAGGAGTTGTGCGTCCAATTCTTGCAACTTATACGCCCCACGGGGGAGTTTGGAGAATATGCGATATGGCCCCTTCCATTTGGGTTGTAGCTTTCCCTGTTATGCATGAAGAACCACTTGTTTTAAGACCATACCTCCTTCTCGCATATCCCTTTGTTTGACTTTAGAGTTGTACCTTCTGGAGGCTCTATGCTTGGCGGAGAATTCTTGGACATGGGCGGATTCCCTCAATTCATCGATCAAGTCCGATGCATATTCTAGTTTTGTCGTGTTTACCTCTTAATCAAATTGGGAGCGTCACCACGAGGGAGTGTCATTCTCTACAGCCAGCATGGCATCAACTTCATATACCTTGGCGAATGGAGTTTCTTTGGTATTAGAGTGAGGGGTGGTGTAATATGACCATAATATTTTGTGGAGAAGTTATGCCCATAAGTCTTTGGCATCGTGAAGATTCTTCTTGAGTCCCTTCATAATTTCCTTGTTTGGCGATTCAGCTTGCCCATTTGCTTCTAGTTGTACAACAGATACAAACTTTGTTTGTACTCCTAAATCTCAGCAAAAGTCAGTAACCATAGAGTTGAAAAATTAGGTCCCATTGTCAGAGACAATGGCTATGGGAAGCTCAAACCTGCACATAATTTTTTTCCAATAGAAGTGGCTGACTCTTTTAGTTGTGATGTAATCCACCCCGACTTTGTGATGTAATCCACCACGACTATTCGAAATTTTAGATGGCCTGGCACAAGGGGGAATGGACCTCAGATGTCCACCCCCACTGGTAAAAGGTCAAGACGGCATCATTGACTGAAGAAGCTCAGCGAGGGCGTGATGAAGGTCAGTATTCCTCTGGCATTGGTCACACTTCTTGGCAAAAGTGATACTATCCTTCATCAGGGTAGGTCAATAATATCTCTCCCTAAATAATTTATGGCCAAGAGTTTTTCCATCGATATGAATGCCACATGATCCTTTCTAGACTTCGGCAAGTACCAGGGAGGTTTCATGCTTTCCCAGACACTGTAACATTGGAGATGCTCTTCTAATTTTATAAAGCTTTCCTAAGAGAAGGGTGTACTTAGCAACCTGATTTTGGACTCTTCTTGCATCCCCCTCGTCCAGTGGGAGTTTGTTTTCTTGTAGGTAGTGCAGTATTGGCGACACCCATCTAGACTCAGGGACAACTTCCAGGGAGTAAACCTTGCCCACCTCAATGGCGGGGGAGGCGAGATTCTCCGGGATCATTATTTTGTTAAACCCATTTGTTTTTAAGCTGGCGAGTTTGAACAGAAGGTCTTATCACTAGGAACATGTTTTATTTCAAAAGAAGTAAAGAGAGAGGATATAATTCATACCTTTTGCAGATATCTTATCAGTTGGGGTTCTTTTGCCTGATACTATCTGGAGACTTGGTTAGTAACTAATTGGGATTCGCTATTGGATTTAAATCTGGAGGCTCCCATTTCTTAGGTGAGAACCATGCCAGTAATGAGGGTCTCATATTCTGCCTAATTATTGATAGCCTTGAATTTGAACTTCAATGATTGCTCGATAAGTATGTCTACACGTCCCTCTAAGACTATTCATGCAATGTTATATTTCACGTTATAGGCCCCATCAATTGGTACAACCCACTCTGGGGGAAACTCCTCATCTATAAGCAAGCTAAGTTTTGTCACAAAATCTGCCAGATATTGGGATTTGATGCTTACCCTCGGGACATATTGGATATCCTATTATGAGAGTTCCACCGCCCATGAAACCATTCTTTCCTCCAAATCTAGCTTCTTCAAGATCTTTCGAACATGGTAGTTGGTTTTAACAGAGAATTTGTGACTCTGAAAGCAAGGTCTCAACTTCCTCACCACAAAGACGACGACCAATGCTAGCTTCTCAATCTTCCGATAACGTATTTGGGAGCCTCTGAATACCTTGCATATGAAATACACAAGCCTTTCTTCCTTATCTGTCTCCTATACGAGTACTGAGCTCATCGCCTGATTTGTGACTGAGAGGTAGAGGAGTAATGTCGATTCCTCCCTCGGGCGAGTGAGAACGAGAGTCAATGCGAGAAAGGATTTTACCTTCGAGAATGCCTCTGTGTTTCTTCTTTAGAGCGGAAAATAAAAATAAAGTCTGGTTGCTCGTACATGAGAGAAAGAGAGATAGAGCAGCGATGCAACCTGTTAGTTATTGCACCTCCTTGGTGTTGGCGGGGCTTCTCATAGCGATGATAACGCAACATTTATCCAGATTGACTTCGATGCCTCTTTTCGTCAACATGAACCCTAGGAACTTTCGGGCCTGAACTACGAAAGAGCACTTGGCATGAATCAAGCGCATATCATACTTTCTGATTAACTACACGACATCCCCCAAATATTCGGCGTGGTTGCACCATTAAGAAATTTTCACTATCATGTCTTCAACATAGATCTCTAGGTTCTACCCTATCTCGTGGGAGAACACAACGTTCATGAGTCGTTGGTAGGTGGCGTCAACATTCTTAAGGTCGAAGGATGTGACATTGTAGTAGTAGTTGTCGTGGTTCGACGTGAAGGCTATTTTAGGGGCGTCTACGGGATCCATCGGAATCTGGTTGTACCCCGAGTAGGCACCCATGAAGCTCGAGATGTGGTAACCTGAGGATCCATCGATAAGATGATCAACATCTGATAGTGGGTGCAGGTCGTTAGGACATGCATTGTTCAGATAAGTAAAGTCCACACACATATGCCACCAGTTTACTGCCTTCTTCACCAATGCCACGTTGGCTAACCATATAGGATATTTCATTTCCGTAATGAACTTGACACTGGATAGCTTGTCTATCTCCTCATCAATGGTGGATCTCTTCTTCTTGTTAATTTTCCATTTCCTTTTCATCACCGGCTTGGCATAAGGGTCGATGGCGAGGCAGTGACTCACCACTTTGATGTCTATCCCAGGCATATCAGAGGGAGCTCAAGCGAACAAATTGAAGTTTCTAATGAGTTAATCGACTAACTCATGTTCTTCTTCCTCGGTAAGTGAAGTACTTATCTTCGTTGCCTAATGGCCTGAAGGTCTTATTCTGACTTCTTTCAAGTCCTCAGTGCACATGAATATCTCATTGTTTGTGCCCAAAATGGGATCCAAATAATTGATGTTTGCATCTGGGACTTCAAGGTGGGGGGCACCAACAAGAGCAAGCTTTTCCCTCTCTATCCCAAGCTATTCTAGTAACGTTCTTGAGCAATCTATTAGTCTTCTTGAATCTACCGACTCACCCATAAGTTAGCAGGTAGTTTAGGACCAAGTATCGGGTGGAAATAATATCCCCTAATACATTGATGACGAGTCAGACTAGGATGATATTTTAAGGCGATAGGGTGTCCACGATAAGGTAGCTGACTCCAATCACCTTGGCGTCTTCTCCTCCGCCACATGTTGTCTCTGGGGTCATGTGGCCTCTTACTTGTACTTAGTTGCCTGCCAATCCTATTAAGCAGTCCCTGAACACTTTGACATCATTTGGATTAAGCTGAAGCTTCTGAAAAACATCATAGAACATGACGTCAGTAGAACTCCTAGGATCTATCAAGACTCACTCAATCAATCAAGGGTCGACCGTTGAATCCCTATTTACTAAAGAGATGTGAATCAACTACTGGCCCTGGTTTTTTCTCTGACCAAAAAATGCCTTTTCCCACGTTTCTAATAACTGGGCGAGTGAGAAGTACTTGGGTAAAGCGATACATCCTAGAGGGAGATAGATGATTGTGGCTCCTCCGAAAAGTTGCAAAGCTCAGACCCTTATTAAGTCCTTTACAAATATAATACTATAATATAAATATATTTTTATTATAATAAATATGTAATAATAATAACTTAAAAATAATGTAAATAGTACTCATTAGAATATATTATTAAAAAAGGACTAAAGCTACATAATAAATAACCAATAACAAATATTTTAGCACAATTATTTTTGGTTGTTGTATATGTTATAACTATCATGAAATAGAAGCATTGGATTCCCCTATTATAAATGCATGGCAGTGAATTTCAATTCAACAGCATAACACATCAGTAAACAGACACGAACATGGGGAATGAAAACACTCTCCCTCTTTATGATAAAATATGGCTCAAATACACATTTTCAAGAGTCATGGATTCCTTCACTTTGTTCTTCCTCCTCTTGCTTCTTGGTTACCGTATTTTCTATGACAAAAACTATAGCATCCCTTGCGTCCTTGCTTTGCTTTGTGAGTCATGGTTCACCTTCACTTGGATTCTCACCATGAACACTAAGTGGTCTCCTACACGTACCATAACTCACTTAGACCGTCTCATGCTTCGGTATATTGCTTCTTCTCTTCTTTTTTTACTCTAAATTTTATAGTTATATTATAAGCCTCATAATCAACTATGATAATTAATGTATCATCTTTTTTGTTCTTCAAAAGGGTATCTGAATCTGAGCTTCCAGCATTGGATTTGTTTGTGACAACAGCAGATCCGGTTCTTGAACCACCAATCATCACAGTGAACACAGTCTTGTCATTACTGGCACTTGATTACCCTTCTAACAAGCTAGCTTGCTATGTTTCTGATGATGCTTGTTCACCTCTTACATTCTATGCCCTTCAAGAAGCTGCAAAATTTGCTGAAATTTGGGTGCCTTTTTGTAAGAAATACAATATACAATGTAGAGCACCTTTTAGGTATTTCTCAGATGAAGATAATGTTAGCAAAAAAGAAGATTCACCAGAATTTTATCAAGACTGGTTAAGAATGAAGGTCATTTTTTTTTTTTGTTAATTTTTTTTAAAATATTAAATACAATTATTTCACACATAAAATATTTTATTTAAGAGCAATGAGTTCAGAAAAAAATTCAAAGGATGAGACTTAAAAAAATACAGTTTATCCTTATCTGCAGGAGGAATATGGGTTCCTAAAGGGTAAAATCGAGAACGCAGCACAAAACTCAGTTCCTCTTGTGGGAGAGTGGGCTATTTTCTCAAGCATAAAGCCTACAAATCATTCAGCCATAATCAAGGTACATAACAACCATATTTTATTTATTTATTTTGCTTTGGTACTTTAATTTAATTTAATTTAAGATTTTATTTTGATCATTTATTTAATAAATATTATGTTTTAATTTTTCAAAAATTATTCTGTTAGTTAATTTTGTTAATTTTTAACTGTAAATGTCTTAGATCAGACAATATTATTGAGCATCCGTTATAGACTATTATTTTTTTTAATTTTAATTATTTGATCTTTTCAACAAATTTTACACGGTTGGAAATTGATAATTTATTGATTCTAATAATAAATCATCAACACATAATATTTTTTATATAACTTCATCTTCTACCCTCTTCTTCATCATGTTCATCATCACATTCATCAACATTCATCTCAAATCCAACAAAATAAAATTAAACTTAAGAAAATCAAAATAAAAAAAAAATTTATAACTCATATTAGGTTCATCTTCAATTGATCTTACTGAACTCATATCCATAAGATAGTTAAGCCATCTCCAACATCAACAAGAATCATGTTTAGAGTTTTGAAATTGAGATGTTAAACTTCATTTTAAAGAATATAAAAAAAGTCTTCTTCGTAACTTTTAGGTTTCCTGAAAAGGAGTGCATAGCAAATGCAGATTCTTAAGAATAATAAAATGAAAAGCCTCGATAAAATTTTTATCGTGTACAAAGAATAGAGGAAAAAGAGTGTAACCCTAGAAAAACAACATATCTTGTCTTTACAAGCGACATAGATACAATACTCGCCTAATTAAAAATATTAGCAATCAAATAAATAGAGGTAAAAAAAATAAATGAATGACAGTAAAGTAAGTGGCACCAGAGGGAAATTCCCTATAGGCTTTTAATCTTCAATCTCCTTGTCAGTCTGAGGGGGAGCCTTTTCGCCTCTATGAGCCTATCCAGGCGGTTTTATTCCTAAACTAACCTTTTGGGCATTGGAACCTAGGATTCAAACCATTTTCAGCCTATGACTCTCTACGTAACACTTCCTGGTAATTTCTTGATCTCCTTGAATAACTCCAACCTGTTTTCCAAATAGCGAGTATTTCATGCACAAATACAAAGTGGTCAAGGTGGTGCCCAACTGATTAAAAGTCATATGCCTTATAATTATAGTGTAAGAAAAGGGGGCATCAATAACCATATATTTGACATTAATATCTTTCGCTTGCTCTTACACTCCAAAGGTGGTCTTTAACATTACGTAGCATTTCACTTGCACATGCTCCTATAAGAATCCAAATAGTGATCCCTTTAAGGGTTTTAGGATAACTGGGTCGAGGAAGAGCACTTCAAATGCATTCCAATAGAGAATATATGTGGAGCTTCCTTGGTCTACAAGAAATCTTATGATCTCCCATTTATGTCTCCTACTGGTGATGAGCATGGGGTAGTCATTGTATTGGTGGATGCCAACTGCATCCTTCTTAGAGATGGAAATTTCAGATTCTGGCATCTTCAGTTTTCCTTCATCCACCTAATTTGATGGGTCTTTTATATTGACTACTAGGCGGTCATACCTTCTACCGGTGGAACTAGTCTCCCTGCCTCCAACAAACCCTTCTGCGATAGTATAGAGCGTATAATGCATAATTTTGTTATCCTCCCTTGTAGATGCCTCTTTTTTGGCTCCATGCATCATCTCGCCCGCAAGGGATGGATTCTTCATACCCTTGGGAGGGGTTGCCTTTAACATACTTCTTGAGATGTCCCTCCTGGATCAATCACTCGATTTTCTTCTTGAGTTGATAATAATCCTTAGTATGGCGTCCTTTAACTTTATGGAACTTACACCATCTTCCTGGCTCAGGCCTCAAATTTTTTTCTATTGGGCTAGAGGCATGAGAATGTTGTGCATGTGAAGAACCTCACACTATATCTGCTCACGGCGAGTGTTCATAAGCGTGAAGCTCTCCCGTCTTGCCTACTTGCTTGAATGTAGTTTTGTATTTAATGAGAGAGGTATAGTTACTATTTATTTGGTGATGCAAGCCTTCGGGGCTAGGAACATGCTCTTTAACGTCACACACCTTTTTCTTGTCATTGCTCTCCTTGCCTTTTACGTAACATTCTGCCATGGTGGCCATCTCTGTTAACGAAAGTAATGGCTTATGAGCGAGAGATTTATTGAAGTGTCTCATCTTGAGTATGCTTTGGAATTCCCGTATGAACATTTCTTGGTTCGAGGGGATGCACCTTACTATAGATTTAGTGAATCGGGTGAGGTATTCCCTCAATAACTCTTTGGACCTTGTTGTATGTTGAACAACTTGTGGTGGACATCTTTCGGTGTCGGCTAGTGGAAAACTAGTGAACATGTTTCTTTACCATCTCTTGATAGTTAGCGATGGAGGTTCAGAACATATCCATATACCATTGAAAAGTCACGTCCATGAAGGTTTCAAACATCAATTTTCACTTCAAAGAGTCAGGAGCTCTGATGATGGCCATATGTGTGTTGATAGAAGTAAAATGTTCATAAGGATCACTGTGCCCATCAAACTTCACCAGAGAGTGAGGCTTTAACCCTTTAGGGGTATTCCCTTCACGTATCTCGTCTCAGAGTGGCTAGGAGTCTAACACCTCCATCTCCTGGTGGATTGGTTCCTTGTTCAAGCTGTCGAATGTTGAGGATGTTGTACTTTAGACTCTGATTTTGACGAGGAAGTTCGTCCATGGTGGTGTGAATCTCCTCCATGGAATTAGCGTCACTATTATCCTTGATGTCCTTCGACATAGGGGTTGATGCTCTCTTATTGACCATGGTTAGAAACATATGGGTTCAGGAATGGGGATGGGAATTAGTATGATAATTGCAATGGAAGGTGCGACTCAAATTAGTTTTATCAGAGCCCTATGATGGGCGCCACTGTACTTGTCAAAAATTACATGAGTACATGATATCCTTACGTGGGTAGGGGATAACCTGGGGCCTTTGTAGTTAAGGGTAGTTAGGGCTTGCTCACGGTGATGAGAGACCCTCTTTGGTGATATTTACGGTGATAAGAGAGGGTCAACTCACATGAGTTAATAGGCTCTATGTTTATGCATTGTGTTGGGTTAGTTATGATATGTCCCTCTAACCCTACGAGTGAGGTATTTATAGACTCTAGGGCATGAAGCTCAGGAAACCCTAAGGGGTAGCAGTCGGTCCTTGTTGACTGAAGGAGATTGTTGACAACCTATTTTCTAGGGAGTCATGGTATGACTTCGTTCATGTGGTTAATGCTTGGGTAATGGGTTTGTACATGTTTTCCCGGAGGGCAAGCTCCACATGCCACGTAAAGGTCACACTTGGGTAATCCTTCCCTAGGCGGGGACCCATGTGTCACCCTTACTGGGGATCTCACAACTATATCACTAAATATCCCTAATAAAATTAAAATCTTTTCACCCTAACTTTGTCACATCCATACATATGAACCAACACCCTATACCAGAATCTCTCATAATCTGACTAAGCTTCAAACATATTTTTCCTAACAAGGAAAAATTGAACTCTTGAAACTTCCTCACTCATAAACCTTATTTATCACCATCAGACAAACTCTCACTATAAAAAAATTGTCTGTTGCGACGTGATGAAGATGAAAATTGAAAGTTGGAATATTTAATATGAGGAAGAAGAAGAAGAATGTTGGAGGAAGAAGGAAGTGAAGAGAAAAAATGATGGAGGAGAAAGGAAGAAGAGGAAAAATGGAACACTGATATGAGCCTGAGAGAGAAAAGTTTGGAATATATAAGCGACATGAATTTCACGTCACAATTCTCCAATGGTTATATTTTTGTGACGTAAATAACATAACACTAATAAAGATGTCAGCCAATTGCTCCCCATCGACTCTTTCATCAGTAAACTTCCCTTCTAAATATTTTTTTATTTTTGAATTTAACGTTACGACGTGATTTGACGTTACAATTTAATTTTGAAAACTTCAAATTTTCTCCTATATGTAAAATTGTGCAAATCTGACATATTTTTTTAAATTTAATTTTTAAATTATAACGTGATTTTCACGCCACACTATTTTCTTAAAAAAAAAATTCTAACAGTATTAAAGTTACTTTTAATTTTTTATAGTAAAAACATGTTTTTTTTTCACGTGATTTTCGAATAAATTATATACTGGAACACGTTTGTTTTCTTGTAGTTTCTTTTCCAATGCACTCAACAAACATTCCTAGCTTCCTTATACCCCCCTCAAATAAAATATTTAAACAAAAATTCAATTTTAAAAATAATAATTGTCAGGACCTTGAAAAGAGAAAGAGAATATATCATAAGATATAACAAGAAATACTTCAACCCTAGTCTATCATCCACATACAACTAAACATACTGAAATTCTAACTAATATGTATAATTGATAATATTATTTTCTTGAAAGGATTCATGCATCAAAACACTTTTTTTCCTAATGTTTGTAGGTGTTATGGGAGAATAAGGAAAATCTTATAGATGTTTTGCCTCACTTGATCTACATATCTAGAGAGAAGAGGCCTGAACAATCCCACCAGTATAAGGCTGGTGCTATGAATGTGCTAGTAAGTTTTTTTATAAGAATTTTATGATTGTTACAAATTCATAATATAAAATATTTTTTTGTGTAATTTATTTTTGTTTGGATTAAATATACAGTTCTCTTTGGTAATATAGACGAATTTTGTTTTACTTTCTTTTAATTTATCTTTTTTTTGAAATAACTTCTTATAATATTTTTCTTTGAATTATCCCTTAAATATATAATTTTCACTTTGAATCTATGATAAAATAGAAAAAAATATTTTACAAAGAATAATTTTTGTATTTAAGAGGAAAAAAACTTAATATTTTAAAATTTTAAAGGATATTTGAAAGAAAAAAAATTAAAGAAGATAAAACGAAACACATCTATATTACAAAAGAGAATTATGCATTTAACTTTTTTGTTTAATTTGAATTTTTTAATAAATTTTAAATGAAAAATTAATTTAAATAATTATTTTTAAAGTATTATTTTAGATTTTTTATCATTTTACTATAATTTTTTTTAATATCAAAATTTCAAAAAACAAATCACTTAAATTTAAAGTTATTTCAAATAACTTTTTCGTAAAACTCATATTTGAGATATATCTTTTTAAAACAATTGTGATTTCGACTATATTTTAATCTTCAATAATATATATATATAAAAAAGTCAAATTTAAAAAAATTCAAATATATAAAAAAATATTTTTATAAAAATTATTTTTGAAAATAAATAAAAAAAATCTAATTTTTAAAGGTAAAACAAACTAGCACATATCTTATTAACATCCAATTTTTTCTCTTGTAATAAAAACTAAGAATTTTGTTGGAATCTGAAATTTCTCATCATTTGTATTTTTGAACAGACTAGAGTTTCTGGATTGATGACAAATGCTCCATTCATCTTGAACTTAGACTGTGACATGCATGTGAACAATCCAAAGATTGCTCTACATGCAATGTGCATTTTTTTAGATTCAAAAGGGGAAAAGGAAGTTGCATTTGTTCAATGTCCCCAACAATTTTATGATGGACTAAGAGACGATCCTTTTGGAAACCAACTCGTGGCATTGTTTGTGGTAGGTGAATTTTTTTTTTTTTGAAAGATTAATAACTGAAGCACTCCAATATTTATATATATGCACAAAGTTTAAATGTTTAAAGTGTGTATTGATCTATAAGCAAAATTATTTTATTATTTTTTCCAATATAGTACATGGGGGGTGGATATGGAGGACTTCAAGGAATATTTTATGCAGGAACAAATTGCTTTCATAGAAGAAAAGTATTTTATGGCCTTTGTCCTTCTCATTATATTCAAAATGGAAAGAATGGTGGAGGTGTTACCAATGGTAATTCTATATACATATTTCTACTAGCATTTCTTCTTACATTAACATGCATATCATAATTACATGATGTTTTGTTTTTAGAAATGGAAGCAACATTTGGAACTTCAAAGAGATTTATTGAATCAGCTACTCATACTTTAGAAGGAAAAATGTTAACTCTCAATGATAACCTTTGCAACTCACTTGAGGATGCAACAAAAGTTGCTAGTTGCGGATTTGAACACGACACTGCTTGGGGCAAACAGGTGAGAAACACCGATATATGCATTAGAACCGTCTTTAAGAGTGTACAAGACGGACTACTGCACATAACCTCCAATTTTTCACAGTTAAATCGTAGTAACCTAGACAGGTCATCAAAAAACTTGAGACGGCTCTTATATGCATTATAACTAGGTATAAGTCACAAGTATGGATTTAATTGATTTTCTAGTTTTTGGTAAACATTAATTAGGTGGGATGGTTATATGGATCAACGTCAGAAGATATACTTACTAGCTTGAACATTCATGCAAGAGGTTGGAGATCTGAAATGTGCTCATCAGATCCAATTGCTTTTAAGGGTTGCTCACCTCAAGACAACATAGTGAACATGATCCAACAAAAACGCTGGGTCTCAGGATTGTCTGATATTCTACTCAGCAAGCACAACCCAATTTTTGGTTTTCTCTATGGCAAGATTCAATTTAGACAGGCGTTGGGGTATGTTTGGTTCATGAGTTGGGGGGTAAGATCAGTCCCTGAAATTTGCTATGCTGTTCTACCTGCCTACTGCATTATTACCAACTCAAGTTTCATGCCAAAGGTGAGAATAAAACTTTTATAATTCATGTCATAAACAAGTTTTACCCATCATATATTGAGCTTGTTTTTTTGCTTATTTTATGCAGAAAATTTGGATTCATACTTCTTTGTTTGTGATCTACAATATGTCTACTCTATCAGAGAGTTTAAAAACAGGATTGTCAATTAGAACATGGTGGAACAATCAAAAGATGATGAGAATTACAACCATGAGTGCTTGGTTTTTCGGATTTTTGGCTATCCTCCTTAAACTATTACAAATATCCAAACCTGTTTTTGAAATAACAAAGAAACATGAATCATCTTCTAGTGATGGTAGGTTTAGTTTCAATGAGTCTCCAATATTTCTACCTAGTACAACTATATTGTTTGTGCAACTCACATCACTAGTTACTAGCTTATTTAGATGGAGTCTACGTGTTGGAAGTGAGGTTGGATATGGTTATGGAGAAGTGTTATGTAGTGCTTACTTGGTTGCATGTTATCTTCCATTTTTGAAAGGGTTATTTAGAACAGGAAAGCATGGAATTCCCTTATCTATAATTTTCAAATCGGCGATATTGTCTTTTCTTTTTGTGCACTTATGTAAACTTACCATTATTGTGTGATAATGTTCATTTAGTTAGTTAACTTGAATGTATTGTATAGGCTTGTTGCTTTGAATTATTTTTCTTGAATTTATGATATAGTGTTGTTAAATGCACCAAGAACACCGAAACTACATATAAAGTGTTTCTTTGAGCAAGACATGTAACATGTGGTGTGAATTGTTTGCACACATTTCTTATATAAATACTCTTTCAACCCAACTATTTCAATTTTCCAAGGTCTGTGCTTTTATTGGGTAAAGCCCAACCCAACTTAATAGGAGGTCATTCCATAGGATTAAATCCACCATGATTGTGTTATGGGTATTGGATGTACATAGTAATTTAAATGTATTGTATAAGTTTTTGAGAGTAAATTGGAGGAAACAACGTAAAAAATAAGCACTTCTAGAATGTAGAATCTGGAATTTTCAAAGGCGTAATTGATTACGCAAAACATCATAATCGATTACGAAGACCTGTTTCTGTTTTGGTTTTTCAGTTATCGGAGTCGTAATCGATTACAGCATTTGACATAATCGATTATGAGCCCGTGTTTTGGGTTGTCTGGCTTATTTTAAATTGTTTTTTATGTTTCCCAATTACGTTGTATTGTCTTGTATATAAAGACCCGCAAGTGTAATGTGTTTAGTAATGTCATTTTATAATTTTTTCCTCAAAATCTCTCTCTCTCTCTCTCTCTCATTTCATCTTCTCTAATTATCACTTTTCACCATTGATTCAGCATAGAATTTTGTGTATGTTCCAATATTTGGCATCAAGAGTCTTGACTCTGATCCATTAATCTGCTGCAAAAAATGACTACATTCTCCAACGAACTAGACCCCACTAATCTTTCAACCCTTGATTCAAAGAACCATGATAAATGATGCAAACAAGTGAAATTTTTGTTAGGGTATCAAGATGTCCTTGAAGTGGTTAACAATGGAGTTACTCCCCTTGGGGGAAGAAGCTACAGATGCTCAGAAGGCTTCACACAAGGAAGAGAAGAAGAAAGATTACAAGGAACTCTTCTTAATTCATTCTTGTGTCGATAATGACAACTTTGAAAAAGTTAGTGATTATGATTCGGCGAAACAAGCATGAGAGATATTGAAGAAAGCTTATGAAGGGGCTGCTAAAGCAAAGGTGGTGAGGTTACAAACTCACAAGCGGCAGTTTGAATTGGTCCAAATGGAAGAAAAGGAGACAATCAACGACTATGTAACGCGTATCACGCATTTGGTGAATAAAAATAAAGTCTTGCGGAGAAACTATTTCGGAGCAGAATATTGTATCAAAGGTCTTGCATTCTTTGACACCAATATTTGACAATATTGTAATGGCGATCAAAGAGTCTAAGGAACTTCCAACATTGAGTAAGAAAGAGCTTCAAAGTTCACTTGAAGCTCATAATCAAAGGATGGAAAAAGGAAAATGACAAATCTAAAGAGGAGATTGCATTGCAAGCACGGTTCAACGAGAAGAGTAAAAGATCAAAAGGAAAATGGTCTTCGAAAGGAAAGGCAAATTTCTAGAACTTTGTTGGAAAAGATCCACAAAATTCGAAAGCTTCGGTGGGGAAAAGAGGTGAGAGCAGCTTCAAAGGTAGTGGTCAAAGCAACTACACCAAGATTGACAAGAGTAATGTGAAGTGTTACAATTTCCATAGACTTGGTCATTTCGCAAGGGATCACAACACGAAATCAAGAGAAAATCAAAGTGATGAGGCTAAGGTTGCTCGATAGGAGGTGGATGATGATAACATGCTTCTTGTCATGATCACTGAGGAGAATTATGGTAATAATAAGGTGCTGGACAACATCAGTAGCAGCTCCAATTTGCTGGACAACAGTTGTAGAAGTTCGAAAAATGTTGCAGAAACGTGTTCGGAGCAAAATGTAATGGTAATGGTTCGAGATAGAGTCCAAGGAAGTGATGAGTGGTACTTGGATTTTGGTTTTTCAACACATATGACGGGTATAAAGCATTTGTTTATCAAAATCAATCAAGCCATGATAAGGTGAAATTCGCAGACGATACCACTTTAGCAGCCGATGGGATCAATGATGTTTTAATCATGAGAAGGGATGAAGGTTATTCCTTGATCAAATAAGTGCTATATATTCCAGGAATCAAATGTAATCTCTTAATAATTGGACAATTGCTTGAGAATAATTACATGATTCACATAGAATACAAGAATTTGCGCGTTTTGGACCGAAATAGGGTTTTAGTCCTTAAAGCACCTATGGTTGCCAATAGAACTTTCAAGATAGAGTTGGAAGTGATGGAGCACAGGTTTATTACTACAGCGGAAAGTTATGATGAGTAGTTGTGGCTCTACCGTCTTGGATATCTCAATTTCCGAGACCCCGACACATTACAAAGGGATGGTATGGTAACCGGGTTGCCAAAACTCAATGTTCTAGCTGAGATATGTGAAGAGTATGTTCAAGGGAAGCAGCACGAGATCAGTTTCAGCAAGGATGCATGTCATAGGACTAAACATCACCTTGAGGTAATGTACTCTGATGTTTGAGGATCAATGCAAGTTGACTTGTATGGTGGTAATAGGTGCTTTATCACTTATATCGATGATTTAGTAAGAAACTATGGACATACTTAATCAAGAGAAAGGATGAAGTATTTGATGTGTTAAAGAAGTTTAAGTCCATGGTTGAGCGGCAAAGTGGTCACAAACTTAAAATTCTCAAAATAGATGGCAGAGGTGAATATATCTCGAATGAGTTTGGGAAGTATTATGATGAAGAGGGGATAATGTTGAAGTTGTGCCACCCTATACGCCAGAGCAGAATGGTGTTGCCGATAGGAAAATCATTCTATAATGAACATGGTTCGAAACATGTTAAAGGGAAAAGACTTGTCGAAGGATCTATGGGGTGAATCTATTTCTATAGTCGTCTATTTGTTGAATATGTTCCCTATAAAAATCTTAATAAAGGACTCTAGAAGAAGTATAGTATGGATTTAAACCAAGCTTAAATCATTTGAAAGTTTTCAGTTCGATAGCATTTTGACACATTCTAGGTCAGCTTCGAAAGAAGTTGGATGACAAAGGTGAGATGATTTTGCTTGTTGGTTATCATCCTACTAGAGGTTATAAATTGTTTGATGTTGCAAACAAGAAGATTGTGATTAGTGATATGGTGGTTGATGAACACATGCATTTCGACAACATAATTTTTGGTTTGATAAGCCTTATAATAGGTTACCAGAATGGTGTAATCGATTACGGACGCGATTTCTTGACCCCCCCCCCAGTCTACTGGAATTGGTGTAACAGAAGGTGTAATCGATTACGAGATTCCTCTAATCGATTACAGTAATGGAAATGCAGAAAATCAAGTTGTTGTTGGTGGTTCTGGACAAGAACTTGTTTTAGACGAAAACAGAGAAAATAGTAGACGACCAACTAGGCGAAGAGGTTTTCCTCAGAGACTCCAAGATTGTGAAGTATTACAGGACAACAAAATCAATGGTGATGTTGATTTCGTTCAATTTGCACTTATGGACGAATCCAAGCCCGTTAGCACGAAAGAGGCATTAAGTGATCCAAAGTGGGTGTGTGCGATGAAAGAGGAGCTGGAATCCATTGAGAAAAATAGTACTTTGGAGTTGGTTGATCTACCAGAATGAAAGAAGTCAATCAGTGTGAGATGGGTCTATAATGTGAAGGAAAGTTCCAAAGGTGAAATACTCAAGCATAAGGCTCGACTAGTTACAAAGGGGTTTTTTCAAAGAGAAGGTATAGAATTTTATGAGGTGTTTGCACATGTTGCTATGATAGAAACCATACGGATGGTTGTTGGTATTGTGAATAACAACAATTGGTCGATTTATCAAGTGGATATGAAATCAGCATTTTTGAATGGTTCACTAGAGGAGGAAGTTTATATAGAACACCCCTGGTTTTACTGTGACAAATCAAGAGGGAAGGGTCTACAAATTTAAGAAAGCGCTTTATGGTTTGAAATAAGCTCCTAGAGCATGTAACAAACGCATTGATAGTTTCCTAGTTAATGTTGGCTTCAAGAAATGTGTTTTCGAGTATGGTGTCTATGTGAAGACAGATACAAGCAAAGATGTGACCATACTTTGCTTATATGTGGACGACCTATTGTTGTACCCTAAAATTATCCCTCCCATTTTCAAGACAAATTAATTCAAGACACTTCCTAATGCTCATGAAGGTCTCAAACACTCAAGACTACTCAAGGGTTGACCAAACAAACCATCCCCATAAGCAGTGACCTACAACTAGGGTTTTACTTTTCTCAAAGTAAATTGGACTTATAATGCCTCAAGTGGATTTTATGGTTTCTCATATGTATCAAGGTACCCTCATTCCAAATTTCAAGCCTTGTAGCACAAGTTTGCTCAGTCAATTAGATAGACAGTTGAAAATCAACTGTATTGATAAAAAGTCAACTTTGACCACTTTATAGTCAAAATTTAAGATTTTTGGTCAACACCAACATTTTGAAGTCACATTCATCATTTGATCAAGGATTTATCATGATTCATCAAGAAAACTCAAGATTCATCAAAAGTCAAAAGTTGCTAAATTAGAGTTTTCTTAAGGAGAAGTCAACTGAACTTTGACCAAGCATAACTTTAACATACTTCATCAGAAATTTCTCAACCAAAGTCTATCTTGAAGTAAATTCAATTCTCTACAACTTTGTCTCTCTAATCTCAAGGCCTAAAATTCTTCATTTGAAAGATAAGGGTTGTTGTACCCCAAAATTTGCCATCTCATTTCTCAAGAATTTTCTCACAAGATCATTATTGATTCAAGACTGCACAAGGTTTGATCAACTCAAGATACCTCCTCAAACACTGATGACTCAAAACTAGGGTTTGAGTTTGCGCAAGTACAATTGGACTTTTAATGCCCCATATAGTTTCCATGGATCATATTGGGCTCTCAAGCATCAGGTCGAAGATGGAACTTCTGAATCCTCGAAAGGAGGAAGAGGAAACTGTCGAGAGGGAAA